ACTGTAAAGTCATATGAAAATTATCAGAGATTTATCTACACCGGTCCCCTTCAGGAGGTGACATGGCTGCTCTGGGTGGGGCGAGCTTTCTGCCAGGGGCCCGTAGGTGCTCCGATTGCTCCTGGTGCCAGGGGCTGTGACCCTTCGGAGGTGGGGTGGGGTGCTCTCCAGTGGCAGCCTTTGGTTTCTACGGAGGAACGAGCCCACCTTAGGACTGCCTTTGACAGTCACGGGCCAGCCCCTGCACAGGTGCAAATTGGCCTAGCTGCCGTGGGGGCAGCAGAGCGGCTTTGATTTACAGCTCCCGAGGACCTGGCCCTATGGGAGCTGGTAGCAACCACCTCCCATCTGCCTCCCTGCAGAATCCCAGTTTGGCGGCGATGTTCTAACCGGGGGGAGCCCATGGCGCTGCCTGCAGCTCAGGACCAGCCCCTGGTCCCCATCCTGCCTGCTATCAGACCGCACGATAGCGCAGAGCCGGACCGTGTCAGAACACCCCAGCCGTACCCCAAAACCAGGAGTGCGGAGCCTGAAGAGCTAGGTTGGATGGCTGGTGGCAGTGATGAGACTGGGGGGACCATGGGAAGATTAAATGAAGACTGGATGCAGGAATCCCCGGGCGAGGCCTCAGGCCTGCACTGTATTGGTCAGACTGGGTGATTGTAACAGTCCCTTCTGGCTGAATGACTCCAGTCCGGCCTGAAAGATCTTGTGTCCGAGCCACGTGTCCCTTCCTGCTCCTCTGCCCCTTTCCTCTCTGGTTTTCTGTGTCTGCTCCTCCCTCTCTATCCCGCCAGCTTGGATGCAATAACAACACTCCACTCTCTGACTCCGCTGCTGCCTCTCTCATCCGGGATTTTTTCTCCCGTAATCCTGCTAATTTTCTGTCCCTAGGTCTGACGACAGCGATTCCTCTGTCTCGGAGGTGCTGAGGTACGTACAACTTTCTATTAATTAGAACTCTCCTGCTTCTCGCATTTCCCTCCCCCTGCCCTGCATGCTGAATCTGTGCTGGCCAAACTCTGGGCCTTGCTTCTTTGCTAAATCTATTGAGACTCTGTCCTGGTGCTGCTCTTGCTCACTGTGTGTCCCTCTTTCCTTCTCTCTGCTTCCCCGCATGGCCCTGGCATGCTGTGTCCAGCTGTGGAAGTCCCTTTCTGCCTCTGGTCTCCAGTGCCTTAAGGTCTGAGCCATCGTCTTGAAATGCAGTGCTGGGGGTTTAAGCGGATAGCGTACGGTGCTTTCACTGAATGGGGGCAGCTGCATGCTCTATTCTGCCTCGAGGGCAGGGCGGGTAGTGATGATATCTTGCGCTGTGTCTGGCCTAGCTGCAAGAGGCAGGGCAGCTGTTGGAGCCGGTGGATGCTTGGAGGGTCCAGGCTATGATGCTTTTTTTGGGGGTCTTCTCTCGCATCTTCCGTTCAGACATCTCAAAACACTTGACAAACGTGGCTTCAGCCTCCCAGCACCCATGGCGAGGCTGGTCAGGATTGTTATCCCTGTCTTGTGCCTCGGTTTCCCCATCTGCAAAGAGTAAACACCTGGGGTGCAGCCTCTTGGCACCGAGGAGCCTGTGGCTGCTGCTGAGGCCTGTGCAGCCTCCCAGATATATTAGAGCAGCCCTGGGGTTGCTCTAACTCACTGCAACCTCCCAAAGGGCTGCTTGCCGGCTATGCCACAACCCAGAGTTCCCCTAATGGGGTGTGCTAAGGCCCTGGCTCTGCCCCCAGCATGCCTGGGTTTGCAACACGAGCCACATAGAACCAATTACACTAGCCCAAGGCAGTGTCTGTGCCAGGACAACTCTCCTTCCCCCATTCCCTGCACATCAAAAGGGCCCGGCTGGCAGAGGAGCATCTCCCCACTGGCCTTTGGGTGCCTATTTGAGACACCGTGGGCCTGACTCTGACACCCTGAGCACCATCAGCTGGAGTAGTGGGTGCTCAGCGCCCCTCAAAAAATCCATTCCAACCATGCCACAAATGTGCCGTGTGACCCTGGGCTAGCCCTTTCTCCTCCCTTTGCCTCAGTGTCCCCACCTGTAATCCAACCCTGCTGGGAGGAGGGGAGGTGCTTAGAGATCCTGGCTGGGAAGCTACTTTGGGGCTATCAACCCTCTCCATGATGGGCTCTTCCACCTGGGCTCTTTTCTCAGGGGTGTCGATTCTCATGTGCTCAGCGCTCTAGAACCTCCCTCTGAACTCTGCTCACAGCCCCATTGGCTGTTGCTGGGGCAAAGCCTAGAACTGGTTTGAGACGGATCCCAGCGTGGCGTAAGCAGGCAGAACCCTGCCGCTGCCAATCCATCCCTGTCTCATTTCACTGGGCCGTGGCTCAGCATCCCAGTGGTAGCTGTGTGGTCGGACGCTCTCGCCATCCCCCTGCCTTGCTGAAAGGGCTGGTGCTGGCCTAATGACCTGAGAGTGACTGGTCTCCTTTGCCACCGGGGTTCACAGCAGCTGCCCTCTGGGCTGTTGCCTTGCAGATGTTTGAGATTGCGGACAGCGTGGTGGGGAATGTCGGCCCCACCCATAACTTCGAGCCCCCGCACTACGACGGCATCGAGTGTCTGGCCATCCAGGGCGACGTGCTCTTCCGCGGCTCCGGGGACAACGGGATCAAGAAGTGGGACCTGGAGCAGCAGGAGCTCCTCCAGGTACGGAGGGGGACGAGCAGGAAGGCCCTGCTGCTGGGCGGGGGGCAGATAGATGGGCTAGACCCGCAGCGTGCCGTTTCGAGGGCCAGTGCCAGGGTCTGGAGCGAGGACTTAGAACCTGCTGGAGAGTCACTGTCCAGTCTGGAGCGTGCTCCCGCCATCCTGGGGGTAGAGGATCAGAGAGCAGACACAGGGACCCCATCCCTACGTTGCACATGGGGCCTCCAGGCAATGGAAGAGCCCCGGGGGTTGCAAACGACAGTGGCTGGCAGGGTGGGTCCCGAAGGCAGTTTACAGCCGTGGGCAATGCATGGTAGCCAGTTCTATAGGGCTGGGCTCACCTGCTGCGGTTAAAGGGCTCAGTGGCCTATGGGGAAGGGGGACAGGTTGGTCTAGGGGGTAGATAGCGCTCGGCGTTGTCCCTATTTCTGACCCCGGTGAGTGTGGCTGTCTGGTCTCCGGGCCCCACAGGCCGCAGTGCCCGGCTCTCCAGGTCAGTGGTGGCGCGCAGCAGTGCGGGGACAGCCTCCGGTGGGTCTGGGATAGAGCAGCAGCCGAAGGGGGAGTGCAGGACGGTGCTGGGAGGCAGGAGGTCTCACTCTGCCATGAGGCTTGGCTAACATTTCAGAGGCCTCCATTGATTTTGGGGCGGGGGGGGCCTCTGTTTTGGAGAACCTACCGTGTGCCCGCCCGGGGCTGGGTTGTTCAGAGGAGCTGGGCACTGTGGGAGTCAAGGGGAGCGGTGGGGGCTCCGGCCCTCTGAAAATGGGGTGGTCGGGGTGTCCCCCAAAATGGAGCTGCCCAGAGCTAGTCACCATTTGTGGCTGTGTGACCCTCCCCCACAGTCTCTTCCCTACGAAATGAGGCTAATGCTCATTTTTCTTCCCACTGGAGCGGTGAGGATTGATGGCAGACAAACAATTAGAGAGATGGGGGGTGGGGGGGAAACTCTTTTTTATTGGACCAGCTCCTGTGGGTAGAAGGGACAAGCTTTCAAGCCCCACCCTGGAAGAAGAGCTGAGTTTGCAGACTTGTCCCTGCCCCCCCCCACACACACAGAAATTGGTCCAATCAAAGAGATTCTCTCCCCCATCTTGTGTGTCTCGTATCCGTGTTGCCAGCACGGCTTGGATTGATTAGAGCTTGGAGATCCCCTGGTCAATCCCAATGAGCAATTGTCTCCTGGGTCGGAGCCCTCTTCTCTCCTGCTGAGCTGCTTCTGTAGCTCACCAGAGTCCCCTTGTCTTGAATTCAAATCCTCGGCTGCTGCTTGATGAGAAATCGAGCGGAGCTTAA